AAAAAAAAAAAAATCTTCATTCTGCTTAAAAAGTCTTACGGGGGGGGGGGCAGTGATAGAAGTGGAATATAGTTCTTGCCTATCTTGTATTAAAAGGATCATGAGATCCTTTGTATATTCAACTCAAGCCATGAACTACTACAATTTTATTGTAGTCTCTTATTCATACTGCATATGGGCAAGGAAGGGAATTAGGTTCGTAGTTCATTTTCTAGAAATTGTTCTCATTTTTCCTAGCAGTGTTTTTTTGTATAAGGGAGACAATGTACAAAGGAAAACAGTTCCATTATGTTTAGTTCAGTGATTGCATGCATAAGTCACCCAAATTCTTTAAATACACAAATAAGTTTTAGTACAAGTACCTGCTGCTAGCACAGAGGTGGGCAATTATTTTGGGCAGAGGCCACTTACTAAGTTTTGGCAAGCCATTGAGGGCAGCATGGCAGGTAGCCAGGAGCAGATGCATTCATTTTCTAAACTTTTTAGGGGCTCTGTGGGCCAGATAAAATGGTCTGGCAGGCCACATCTGGCCCACATTTTGCCCACCCCTGTGCTAGCACCTCAATTGGCAGCCAGACTGCAGAGTCCACTAGAAATTCTGGCCACAAGTACAGATGCAGCTCTTGGCCAATCTTGTCAAAGAAGTGCCACAAGTACACAACAGTAACCACTTTTAAGATATGAAAGGCACAAGAACCAGGATTACTTACTTAAATCTAAACTGTGATTTTGTTTATGAACGGTGGCAAAAAATAAAACACCCACCCTTCCATATATTGCCATGTTCATTTTCAAGAGGCTGTTCAGTCAGACTAACCTGTTTAGTTTCTGTAACCTACTGAGGTACCTCAATAATTAATGTCAAATGCCCTGGAATTAAATATTTTTGTCACTAAGAAGAATACAAGCAAGTATTTAGTTGTTTAAAAGAGTCAGTTTTTTTTCCCCCCAATTTTTCTTGGGGAAAAAAAACCCAATAACCATCTTTACTGCTTCAACATTGCCACTCTCTCAAGATGAGAAAGTATTCTAAGGCTCTAAATCAAGTATGTTTGTCTAGAACTAATATTACCCTGTTGAAAATGTTGTATACAAAAGTTACACCCACAAGAACATTAGAGTCAGCTCCAGCACACTTATTCATGGAGACCATATCTCGTACAGCCTCACAGCATTCAATAAGACTTTTCAGATAAGCAAATGCTACAATGAAAACAATTTTACATTGCATAGCAAAATTCAAAGACATTAAGCAACAGAAACAGAACAGTGAGCATAAGCCTTAACTTGCGTTTAACTGTAGATTGAGCACCCTTGATTTAAACAAGCCCCAGCCCATGGGCCAGATCCAGCCTATGGGCCACTCATCTGCCTGCCAGATTTCCCACAGGTCTAAAAAATTTGGTGGTGGAGGGGGACAGCATTAATTGCCACTCCCCTGCTGCCAAAGTTCCAGACTTGTAAGGAGCCCTGTAGACCAGAGACCATGGTCCTGCATGCTAGGTTAAGGTGGAAGGACAGGGCAGCAGGGGGTGGGATCCTGATGGCACAAGGCTGGATCCAGGTGCACAGGACCCAATCTGGGCCCCAATCTCAGGTCTAGCTAGTAGACTAGCATTGTGCCACTTATCTGGCTCATGGGGCCAAAAAGCTGAGCACCAATGGTTTAAATGCACTTAAAGTAACAAGCATTCTTTTACCTGTGTGGCAAATAATTATCCAGTTCCTCCAAAAAAAAAAAAACTCTCCAGTGCTGATCACTGCAGAGCAAGCATGGACCTCTTGTGGCCTGGATGCTTTGGGTCAGGTTTGTCAAGATTAGAGGGAGAGCTTTGTCAGAGAAGCATCAAGCATTTTGACTATCTACACCATTTCTCTATGAAACTACACATTAGAACTAAGAATGAAAGCCAGACAAAGGTCAGAGTGATAGCAAAATTCAGGAACAAGGCTCGCCTTGAATATTCCTAAGAGTAGGGATCAACCTAAGTTGCACTGAGGGAAACTAAAAGTAGTGGGCCACTTATAGCATGTGGCATCATTTTTACGTTCAATTTGTGGCAGGGTTCACAGAAACTAGTCCCCCACCCCCTTCTTTTTTTTTTTAAATACACAAAAAGGTGCAAAATCACCAGTAGGGTAGTTCCCTACCTAAGAGGGTAAGGAATCAGTCAACTGTCAGAGGACTGTGAGAACATACCAAGGCACAGGCACAGTAAGAAACAGGAATGCCTGGAACAATCGATATCTCAGGAAAAACAAACACAGTAAAGCAACAAATGTCAACAGGCTTTGAGGATTAGAATTCATAAGAGTCCTCTGCTCCCAGAAATTCGTACTGAAACAGGAAAAGGTGTTAGCTGACTAATGATAAAAACAAAACAAAAAAAACCCCACAAACCAATTCTCCTAACTTTGGGGGACAGAGCTAACCTCTTTGTTTCTGGACTATACTTGAAACCAACTTCTTGCCTCTGGTTTAGTAATCTCAATTTTATTTGCCGAGAGCTGTAATGGACATCTCACATAAGTGGAGAATGTTTCCTCAGGTATTCTATTACAATTTTAAAATTTCTACAGCATTTTACTCACTTTTTGGTATTTTGTAACCAGTTTCCCCTGGTTTTCTCAGACTTCTGAGGATGTGGTCAGAATGAATATTGATTACCATACCAATCAGCCATCCTGCAAATCCTAAAGAAAAATAATTAAGGCAGGAACACTAATTCTGGATTTATTGTAGGATTATGGCTAGATGCTCAAAGACAGTACTTTAGTCTGATCAGAAGTTTCCACTTGAATGAAATATTTAATATGTGAATTTTCTTCCTTCCATAGTGTTAAGTTGAATTGACCAAATAAACTTTAAGACACTGAGGAAATCAATGCAGAGAATCCTGCCAGAAAGTTATTTTAGACCAACTGTATTAGTTGGGAGAGCTGCTGGACAAGATTGAGCATCAGGTAACCCGAGGAAAGGTACCCGATGCCCCACAGCTTGACTATTAGCTCTTGCAACTATATACCACATCTAGTAAGAGATCAAAAAACCCTACCCCCAAAACAGCCTGAGAATCCACTTTGCTTTCAGTTTTCACAGAATGCTTTTAAGCTTACCTGCAATGAAACAAGGATGTTTCAACCAGTCAGAAGGGTATTCTGCATAATTACTTAAGCTCCGACCTTGTAAATACCCATTAAAGAGACAAAAAATAAATGCTAGTAAAAAAGTTATGAGTGGTGTTGGCTTTCCTCCACGAATCAAGAAAGGAAAGATGAGTGCCCTAGAATAAACAGAAAAAAAAAGTTAAATTAGTCAGCTAGTTATTTCATTGGGAAGTGGATTTTAAGCTCATATTTGTAATCCTTATACTTCTAGGAGTCAGCAGGTATACAGCATGTTTTTATAGAACTTGTTCTTGCAGAAGTCAGCAGGGTAAACAAGCACACACTTAAAATTTATCATGGGTAGCTTCACTGATGGTACAGACTACAGGATCAGGTTCCAATATCCAATTTTATACTCCATCATAAAAATTAGATTTTCAAAAAAATGTGCATTTATCTTACTATAATGTGATTTGGTCAGATAAAAAAATTTAACTTGACTATCTATATGATTTTTAAAAAGTGTTGTAGATAACTGGTGTGTAAGACAGCACAGTTTTTCATCTCACCTTGTTGAAAACTTTAGTGACAATGCTTTCAAGCATTGCCTCCTATTTAAAACGTGCTGGGGATCTAATGGTAACAAAGCAGCTGGAAGAAGACTGCTGTTCTCAGGCTCAAGGAACCCCAGCCACCACTGCATCAAGATCTGACCCCCTGGGAATCCCCATGAGTTTGCCCCACAGTTTACAAGTCTTTAAACTAAAAAGATACACTTTACCTTACTTAACTATGCTTGTATGTTGTATCCCTTCTGCACATTTTTTGTTTTTGTATATCTAGATTGCAATATGCTCTGCATTCTAATGAAGCACCAGGCATACCATACTTTAGGGTTAATTAAGTAGTATTTAGTTCCTCAGAACAGCTGCACATATGAAATCATAAGTTTTCAGTAACCACCTGTCAAGTCTTACCTCAGTCCTTAGGAAAACCTTTGAGAAATTTATCAAGGAGCACATCTCCAAGGGCCCATCAGGGGAGGTAATGCTCAGGGTCAGCGAACATGGGTTCATTGAGGGCAGGTCCTGACTAACTAACCTAGTTTCTTTTTATGTTCAGGTCACAAAGTCCCTGGATGAGGGTGTCAGGGTAGATGTAGTCTTCCCAGCCTAAGAAGGCCTTTGACAGTTTCCCCACCACATTTTCTTTAAAAAGAGAACACCTTGGTGACTCTGGCATTGATGCCTGCAGTCAGATGGGTGGCACATTGGCTAGATCGTCACACCTAGAGGGTGGTCGTGGACAGGTTTTTTGTTTTTTTTTTACCTGAAGGGATATGAGCAGTAGAGTCCCCCAGGGCTCGGTCCTGGGGCCTGTACTGTTCAACATCTTTATCAGCGATCTGGATGTGGGTGTGGAATGCATGCTATCCAAATTCACTGATGACACCAAGTTGTTGGGCGAGGCGGGCATGCTGGAAAGGATGGACAGAATCCAGCTACATCTAGACAATTACAGAGGTAGGCAGATGAGAATAGTATGGAATTCAACACAGATTACTGCAAGGTGCTGGATCTAGGGAGAAGGAACTGCAACACACTTATAAGGCTGGGGGAACACCCTTCTCATCAATATGGTGGCAGAAAGGGATCTTGGAGTCATTGTTGACTCCAAGATGAACATGAGCAGCTAATGCGAGAAAGACTAACCGCACCTTGTCATGCATCTACAGATGCACCACAGGCAGGTCCAGGGAGGTGATCCTTCCCCTTTATGTGGCATTGGTCAGGCCGCAGTTGGAGTACCGTGTCCAGTTCTGGGTGCCGTACTTCAAGAAGGATGTGGCTAGCATTGAGAGGGTCCAGAGGGGCCACTCACATGGTCAAGGGGCAGCAGGGCAGGCCCTACAAAGAGGGGCCAAAGGGCTTTAACCTATTCAGCCTCCACAAAAGAAGGCTGAGAGGGGATCTGGTGGCCATTTACAAACTCACCGGTGGGGACCAGTGGGAATTAGGGGAGGTTCTGTTCCCCCAGGCACCACCCAGGCTTACTAGGAATAACAGCCACAAATTGTTAGAGAGAAGGTTCAGGTCGGACATCAAGACATTACTTTACAGTTCGGACTGCCAGGCTCTGGAATGGGCTCCCAAGCGAGGTAGTATTCTCTCCTACCTTGGGAGTCTTCAAGGAGGAGGCTGGATAGATATTTGGCTGGGGTGCTATAACCCCAGTACCCATTCCTGCCCAGGGCAGGGGGTTGGACCAGATGATCCATTTAGGTCCCTTCCAACCCCAAGTACTATGAAGTCATTTTAAAATGACAGCTCAATAAGTGTACACATGGGATTATGAAATGATCGCCTGTGAAACCAACAGTTCAGACTCCAGTCACTTGGGAGGTCTCTTCCAAGTCCATCTTCCTCAGTTCAAACTTTGTTTTTTTCCTAGTTCAGGTTTATTTTTAAAAACATTGCTCAGCTACAGCATTGTTAAAAATTAATCTTTCTTCTCCCCATCCCTGAAGGGATTTGAAGATAAAAAGAGAAATAATTTGTAAAAAAGGAAGGAAGTCTAAATTTATAGATTTATTTTTAAGCAGCCTTAACCCATTAAAGGCAAGTTAAGCTTAAGTTCCTTGAAAAAATATTTTCAATATTTTATAGTATTAATATTCAGTGGGGAAAAGAAGGAACACATTCATGTTCCTAGGTCTAACTACCAGGGTAACTATGCCTCTTCGTCTCCCTCAGGGCATCCTCTAAAGGTCTCAGGTTTTAGGGCATTAACTCCTGTTGTTGAGAGCAGTGTATGGAAGATCTACAGGTTGGGTCCTTGGGTAGCCATCTCGTGTATTAACCATGATCACCTCAGCATATCTAATGTGGATTGAGACCCTGCAGTTCTGATCTACCCCATGTAGATCAACAATGGTAAGTCAGCATCTTTCTTAAAGTACATCAAATCTTTAAAACAGTGGTCAGCCTATGGCACAAGGACCCATTGGATCCAGCCCACAAGCATGGAGCTTTGGCAGCATCTGGTGGCAGAGTACTTGCCGCTGCAGGGACAAATGCCAGCTGCACCACTCTCCCCTTTTGCTGCCATGGAGACAAGTTGCTGTTGTAGCCAGCTTCTAGACCCTGCCTGCCTCTGACCCGAAGTAGGTCATTCCAGCCCGTATCCAGAAAAAAAAAAAAGGTTGCCTACCCCTGCTTTAGAAGAACAGTATCCGAGATTTTTTTGGATTTTAAACTTTATTACCAAACAAGAAAAATGTCTATACTTCCCTGCTTGTCAGATGAAGCCACCAGGGACAGAATCCCACCTGATCAGCATAAAGAACAAGTCACAAAGACACTCATGGACCCAGAGGCACAAACTTTTTCTATTTCAGCTTCCTCTGTGATGAAATGAAGTTCATTTCCTACCTATGGAGACTTTTTTTTTTTTTTTTTTTTTTTTTAAACACCATCTTTAAGTTTTCCCCGAGTCTGATGAAGGGCATGAGAGCCCAAAAGCTTACTGAAAAAGATAATCAGGGCTCATGGTAGAGGTGATAGCTTTTATCAGACCAAGAAGATTTTTTGCAAAAAAATTCTTTAATTGCAAGCTTTTGGGCATAAACACCCTTCCTCAGGTATTGGAGAAAAGATTGTAGAAGTTCTTCTGGGTAAAAATGAAAGTTCATATTTCATAGGATTTCACAGGGGAGTCAATAGATGGAAAAAGCTTCTCTGGGCAGGCAGTTCTTAGCTTGTAAGGAGTCTCTCAGCTGTCTTGTGAGGCTCTGTTATGATGCAGATTACACTGCTCCTGCCTTGGTTCAAGATCTCAGGTTTCTGGCTACAACCTGGATACCTGCAGAAAGATTC